CCTGGCGCAGCTGGCCGAGGGGCGCGGCTGCCCGGTGCCCACCCTCGCTCTTCCCTGCTCCTAAGCTGCCAGTGCTCAGCCCGCGTCAGCCGAGCGCGGCCTCCGTGCACTTCGCCCTGGCTCGAGTGGGAGACTCGCTTTCCGGGCGGCCGACTTTTGGGGCGCAGGCTGGGTGGGACGCGCCACCCGCCGCAGTCCCCCCGGTCCAGCCCCGCCTGGGCTCGTCCTGCCGCGTCTGCGCTCAGCTCCGCGCCGCGGCTCTGCTGTGCGCTGGGCACTTGTGAGTGGACAGAGACCGGCAGGGCCTTGAGCAGACAGAAGTGCCTGGGGCAGAGCGGGGCGGTGCTGCGTGGTCCGGTTGACAGGAGGTCGGTGGCCGTTTTGGGGTGCCGGCTCCGTGTGGGCTGAGCGCGGGCGCGGCCTGGTGCTCTCCTTACCGGTCGGCAGGCGCAGGGCGCGAGGGTGACACAGAGCCCCGTTGGGGCTGGAAGCCAGAGGGGCGGTGCTGAAAGAGCAGAAGATGAGCGACCGAAGCCAGCAGGCCCAGGGGCGAAGTGGGGCAGTGGAGGGGCCTCCCTGCCCTGGTGATCTGCACCCCGTGTGGGCACGCGCGGCCCCGTCAGCTCCCTGTCTGAGCTTGGGGGAGGCGCCCGCGGCCGAGGCACAGCCAGGCACAGGCCCGCGCTCAGGGAGGGAGCTTCCGGTCAGCCCCATTGCAGCGCTTAAGCCACGTCCGGTGTGTGTGTGGGCCGAGTGCCCGTGGACTCTCTGAAGCCCGTGACTGTGTTCAGCTCGCAGCCTGGCAGCTGAGCTGCCCGCCGGCCCTGCCCAGGGCGGCAGTCCCTCTGCGCCCGGCTTGCCCGGCCCGGCTGGCCGTTTGGCCCCTGGACCGGCCCGCTGCGCTGCGGCCACCCGGCATCCTGCCGGCCCTGCCTGATGGGCGCGACTTCCTTGCCACCACGCCAGAGGGAGGTCCACAGGCGCCTCGCCCTGTGGCCACGAGTGGCGATCTGAGCGGCTTTGCCGCCAGCCCCGGCGCGGCGTCGGCAGTGTGGGGTCCTCACCACTCCCGCTGGCCAGTGCTGGCCGAGGCCTGCGGCCGTACCCGGTTCCAGGAAGCCGGCAAACGGCTGGATGTCACCTAACGCTGCGCAGACTTCCTGTTTCCAAATCTGTTTTCCTGGTCGGTTGTGAAAGTCGCTGCCACTGCAGGCTCCCCACGGCCGCTCCGGCCTCTCCGGCCTCCCCCCGTCCTGCGGCCTGAGTCCCGGGGCTCAGTGCCGACTTGCTGTCTTGAAAGCGAGTAGTTACCGGGATGTCCGTGTGCGAATGCCCAGCGCTTGCCTCTGCCCTGACGGCTGCACACGACGCCCTCAGTCCCCGCCCTCCTGCGGGCCGCCCCCCCCCCGGGGGTGCCCCCGAGCGGAACCCCAGCTGTGACCTCTGGTGGCGAGTGGCGACCTTGCTCTCTGGGGAGGCGCCGAGCCGGGCGCCCGGCGTGAGCCACGCGAGTGCAGTCAGGTGGCCGGCTGCTTCCCGCCGAGGCTGCGCAGACACCGGCCACGCTCGGGCTGCTCTTGGTGCACCGCCTCTGGCCTTCCCGCAGTGGTGTCCACAGCCATGAGGCGGCGTCTCCTCATGGTGCCACCGGCCTCTCTCCCCTGGACGCTCTGGACAGCTCTTGGGGGGCGTCTGTTCACACCGCTGCCGCCTGCGGGTGGGGCGGCTTGGTCCGAGGCTGCGCACGCTTGCGTTTGCTGCCCCCTCCACCCCCGCGGCCTTCTCGGTGGCTCCCCACTGCCCGGCCTTCTCTGTGCCCCACCCTGGCCTTCTCTGGCCGCCCGCCCCGCCGGCCGCGTCCCCAACGCGAGTTTCCTTTTGCCGTGCGGGGCGCTACGTCTCTGCTTGCGTGGGTCGGCCCCGCGCGGTGCCCCTCCAGGTGGACGGGGGCGTGGCGCCGGCTGTCTGTCACTGCACGTGGCTGGCAGTGACCGGCCTCGGCTGGCGGGGCGTCTCCCTGGTCCTCTGGCGAGGGAAGCGCTTCCTTCCCTGCATCAGGCGCCACGGTGGTGGCATCACAGGCGCGGCGCGGAGACGCAGGGTCACACGCTCACGGGCGACTTTCTCGCTTCTGGGATCTTCGCTAAGAACGCGCACCGCCCACCCCTAGCGGCCTCAGGGCGCCCCCCAGCCCTCCCGACTCCGGAGCCCGCAGGCCGTGCACCTGGCAGTAGGAGGCTGCTGCCCGGCGTGGGGCCGGACGCGGCTCAAGGGCTTCTGAGGGCTGTCGGTGGCCGTTCTGGGCCGCCGAACTGCCATGGCTCGTGCGTCCTCACGGCGGGCTGAGCACTGAGTGACCGCCACGCCTCTCTCACTCTGAGCGGAGGGCAGTGGCCGGCCAGCGTCTGCGGGGTGGAGCCGGGGCTTTGGGAAGCGGGGGAGGGTGCTGGCTCACATTTCACTTGTTCCTCTTGCTGTCGTGCGGCTTGGGGTGCAGGCTGGAGGGGTGAGTGATCCCCAGAGACGGGGGACAGTGCCGGCGGGCCCACGACAGCTGCTGCCGCGGGCCCCAGGGCGGGCGCTGGCGCCTGTCCTGCCTTGGCGTGGCGCAGGACGTGCCTATTGCCGCTGAGGGAGCCAGATGCGCCGGCCCGCGTTGAGTCCCCACCCGTCCGCAGCCTGCAGGCCTCGCCGGCGTGGGAAGACGTGGCCATGGACCAGAGGAAGAACGAGAGCATCGTGCCCAGCCTGACGCAGCTGGAGGATTTCCTCACGGAGCACGACTCCAACGTGGTCTGGCTTCTCGTGGGTGAGTGCTCGTCCCGCTCGGCCGGGCGCGCTGCTGGCCACGGGGGGTGGCCGCCGCCGTCTGCCCGCTTTCTGCGAGGGGCTGCGGCTCCCGCCGCCCACTGCACCTTGTGCCCGGGGAGCTGCCCCCAGTCGGTCTCCTCACTGCCCCTCACTGCGCGCGGCTGTGGGATGTGCCAGCGACGACGCTGTCTGCCCTTCAGAAGTTTTCTAGCTCCATAGAAGCGTGGACAGTGTTAAGTGAACGGCAGAGGGGCTTGTAGTGGCCGTGCCGGACGGCAGGGGCCGGTGCAGAGCGCTGCGGGGCGCTTGGGGCCGGGGCCCTCGCCGCTGGGGCCGCCCGCCCTCGTGTGCATAGGGGCCTGGGAGGTAGCGCGGGGCGGCGGCTGGGTCCCGTCAAGGCCTGAGTCCTTCGGTGTATGTGAGGTTTCTGTTTTGCAAGAGCGTCAAACCGAGCAGGGACCCGAGGAGCAGCTGCCCAGCCGAGGCTTAGCTGCCTGACTGCACACGGGCCAGACGCGGGGTCGCTGGGTGGTGGGGGCGGGCGGG